TCCCCTGTGCACAATATCTTCTCGCGTGCGTTGTAGCAGAGCCTCGGTTTTGCTTTGCTCTTGGTTTTATTAGTGTTGTTTGTTTTTCTTCCTCTTTCCGCCTCCACTTTTTCTCGCTTCTTTTTGTTTTGTTTTTGTTGTTTATCTTTTGTTCTTGTTTCTTCTTATGCCACCTCTTCTGTTTTTTCAATCTTTTCTATTCTTTCGTTTCAAACTACTTTTATTATTTTCTTATTCCTACTTTCCTCTTCTTCTTCTTCCTCCTCCATCCCTCCTCTCCTCTCCTCCTTTCTTCTTCTTCCTTTCCTCCACCTTCTCTCCTCATCCTCCTCCTCATCCTTTTCTTTTTCTTCCTTCCCCACCTTCTCCTCCTCCTCCTCCCTTCATTCCCCTCCACCCCAATTCCCACTAACGTTCTATTATTATATTTCGTCTAAGTGTAGGACCCCCCCCCCCCCCCTATCAATTTTTTTTGTTTTGTCTGTATCTGAATTATACGTGTTCTCTTCTCTCTCTCTCTTCTCTCTCTCTTCTCTCTCCTTCTCTCTCTCGTCTCTCTCTCCTCTCTCTCTCTTCTCTCTCTCTCTCTCTCCTCTCGCTCTCTCTTCTCACTCTCTCTTTCTCTCGTCTCTCTCTCTCTCTCTCTCTCTCTCTCTCCTCTCTCTCATCTCTCTCCTCTCTCTCCTCTCTCTCACTCTCGCTCTCTCTCACTCTCTCTCTCTCTTCTCTCTCTCGTGCTCTCTCTCTCTCTCTCTCTCTCTCTCTCGCTCTCTCTCTCTCTCTCTCCCGCCCCCCTTTTTCCATGGATATGATGAGCATCTCTGCTTTAAAGACGAGTGGGAAGGGGGGATTGCTTTTACCTAATCTCCCAGAGAAGAGGGAGAGAAGAGGTGAAGGAGGAGAAGGATGAGAGAAGAAAGGGAGAGAAAGGGTGGAGAGACGAAGGAAGATAGGAAGTGAGGGATGGAGGGAGGAAGAGAGGAAGGAAGGCTAGTGAAGGAAGGGAAGGGAAGAAGAGAGGAAGGGAGGGACGGGAGAGAAGGGAGAGGAGGATAGTAGACAGGTAGAGAAAGAAAAGGCAGCGCAGAGAAATAAATAGGATAAAACATAAGAAGAAAAGAGAACGACACGTTTGGGACGAGAAAATATCAGCAATTTTTATGGGCGCGCTTGGTTTATTCGCCATCATTTCCATGTTCCCATCGGACGAACGAATAGTCCTTAAACGTCTTTCTGCAATTAGTCTGGGGAAACCACTGTGGATAATCCACCAGGATCCTATAGCCCTTATTTCTGGAGTGGCAATCGGGATGCTTTAGAGGGGGATTTTTCCCTATGACGAGGCTGATTTAGATTCGGGTTGTTCGTTTTTTTTGGTGATTTTCTTTTTTCTTGTGGGGGAGGCCTTGAGAGGGAGAGATGAGGAACTTGAGAGGGAGGAGGCTGAGAAAGTGGAGAGAGATTATAGAGGTAAAGGCGAAGAGAAGGGATGTGAGGCATGAGAAGAGAGAGAAGAGAGAGAGAGGGAAGGAGAGAAGAAGAAAGAAACAGAGAGAAAAGGAAGGTGATTAGAGGATTGAAGGGGGGAAGGAAGAGGAGATAAAGAGGTATAAAATGAATCAATCGGAGGGAGATGAGAGAGAGAATAGAGAACGAATAAGAGACAGACATGACAGACAGATGAGGAGGGTGTAGCTACTGCCATTGCCTACCTGAAGGGCCTTCGATGGGTCACAATTCTGGGCTAA